GCTCCCAGAGACAAAGGATTAGCCGAAACGACAAAAAATTATTTACTTTTAACACAGTGCGTGAATTACTTGGAATATGAAACCTACCGTATCTATCATAGAAGAACTCCGATGCTAGAATAATTGAGATTGATCTTCCTTACAGGTAAGTCGAACAATCTTTCAATTTCTTATAAATCTAACAGAGCCGCCTCTTTGACGAAAAATATTGCAATGTAAAAAAAGTCGTTTTTTTTTCAAATTTTGAAAAAGTGTTTCTACAGGAGCACACATTTAACCTTTACCTATATGCACATATTTTTCTTTCAGAATAAGTAAAAAAATAAACTTTAAAAGTGGGGTGCTACGAAATCCTTGCATGCTCTACTCCAAAGCCAAGTAAATACTCCTCATAATTAAAAAAATACTTCATAAAAAAGCATATAGAACTAAAAAAAGTCTATGACATCGAGTTGTACAGTGAAACTTTTTTTTTTAATGATTTGATTTAAAATATAACAATGACAGTATATAATTTATTTGATTAGATGCCTTTTTTCACAAGTATAGTATAAAAATTTACTGATATTAGATAATCCAAATCACGCGACTTTAAATGGTGGACGATTGACAAAACAAAAAGTGTTTTGTGAGGTTATTACCGAATTATCAGAGATTTTTTTGTACGTTTAGTTGAAACATTGCAAAAATTAATATTAATTAAGAGCATATAAATATTAAATGTATTATTTACAATGACAGTTAAACACTAACAAGCAAGCTAGGTTAACAAACATTGTTATTTTTGCCAATCGTCGGCCATTTTTGTAATGTATTAATTACTGGAATAAATAATTATTGATCTATGTATCTATTAGTCTAAATTAAGTCTCATTGAAAAAATATCCATTCATAGAAATTTTATCCAATATATTTTATTCAACATAAAAATAACAACAATGGGCCATGTTCACATGTGAGATATGCTGTTTTATAAATTATATTGTAATAGTTAGTCGCTATACAAGTTATTCTAAATAGTCAGTTCGTTAAAAAAGCCAAAAGTTTTTAAATTAAGCCCAATTGAAATTTAAAATTTGAAATTATACGTCATCGGGAATAGACCAATCATCTTGTGTCGAAGTTTTTTTTGTTATACAAAACCAAGCCAACGAACAAACCGACACACAGAATGTCGAAGTGAACGCACATCTAAGTGACATTAAAATTGACAGCACCTAACCTTAGTTTTTTGTTTTGGTCAGGGCTGGTATCCAGCCCTGGTTTTGGTTTAATTTTATTATTAATATGAATCAGCTGGATTTATAAAAGTTGAATCAAGTGTTTTACCCATTGTAAACGAAAATATGATTACCGAGATGATTACTGCATTTTTTAACAATACTCAGTTTACAAAAGTTAGAAAGGTAAGACTTTGTTTTAATAGTTAGGTAGTTACAGTTTATATGGAGCAAGTAAAACGTATTTATCTCAGGTTTTATTTTTAGATCTGCCAAGCAAGAATATGGGGATAATTTCTTTTTCCATAAGAGACAAGGAGACAAATTACACCTAAACATAAAGTACGGCAAAAACCTTCTGATGTTGTTGTAATTAACAAAAATGAAAATTTTAGTGCACAATATGCTGCATGTCAAGGTTTGTAATATTTATTATGCTTTTTTGTTTTTATATTACATATAATAAACAGTGTATAAGGCCCTTTATTACTATAAATATTTTTTTTCTAATTTTGACATATAGACATTTTTTGTAATCGCAGCAAGTGTTAAAATAATCTAGAAACAGATTTTGTTAGTGAACCTAGTAATAATTATGATACCAAAGAATAGGCTATTTTTATACCCTTTTCAAAAATTTTATGCTCCTCGTTTTTTGCAAAACTTAAAATGCTCTATAGCTTCGAACGAAGTCAGCAAAGCACCTCTGTTTTATAAAGTTTTTTCTGTAAAAACAGCAACTTGAAATATTATACTTTTAAAAATACATGGTGCTTGCTAACCTTCGAAAGAAGCCAGCAGAGCAATTCGGTTTTTTTAAAGCTTTTTTCAAAAACCACACCCCATTTTTAGAATATTTTTAGACTCTTGAAATATTGTAAAACTTTACTAAAAAAATTGCTATTTTTAAATAATACAGGGTGCTTTGTTGGAACAAAGTCAGCAGGACACTTCAGTTTTTTAATTTGTTTTTTTTTATATATATATATATAAAAACAACTACTTATGACACATGTTTAGGCTGTTTTAAAATCCTAAAAATGTGGTAAGTACATTTGTTTTTAGAAGTCAGCAAGGAATTGCGAATCTTTTTTAAAATGCCAAATTTCGAATATTTTATAATATTGTAGGAGCCAAAAAACGTGGTGTGGTTTAAAAAAAAACTGGGGTGCTCTGCTGGATTCGTTTGAAGCTAACAAAGCATCCCGTAATTTTTTATTTTATAATACTCAATAGCCTAAAATGAGACATAGCTGTTTAAACAAAAAATTGTATTTTTAAAAATAGCAGTTTTTTTTGAAAAGCTCTATAATATTTCAAAAATGTGAAAATGTAGTGAGGTTGTTTTTTTTTTAAGTTTTGAAAATCCGAGGTTCTTTACTGGATTCGTTCAGAGCTAGTAAAGCTCTACTCGTCTTGTTACATAAAATAAAGGCATTTTGTAGCTGGTTATATAGTTATTTTGTAACTGCATATCTAACCCTTTTATTTTTTTCAGTTGGTTGTAAATATGTGGCTTCATAGAAGAAGTGAGGAACCATCTGTAACATCTACTCAGTGTTATTGGAAAGGCTCTAATTTATCAAAATGCGTAAATATTGATGTACACTTGGCTAGATTGTTAAAGAAACCTCTTCATCCACTACAGGAAAATATATCAGTACTTTTATATTCTTAGGATTTGTATATATTTTTTATTTGTAAATAAATTGTTTTTTTACTTCATTTTTCTCATTTTTTATTAAAAGGTTAATAAATAAAATTTTCACAGATTTTTATATTTTTGTTTGTAAACAATAATTGAAGAGTTTTTATTAAAAATCACCAATGTTAATAATAATAACTTAAGTCAATATTATTCTTTCTCCTTTTTTAAAGCTAGTATCAATAAAGATATTACTTTAGCTTGACCTATGATCAATTTTTAAATTTTGTGATATATTTGGTTCGACAGAAAAAAAATTATAACCCTTTGACATTGGTTGTTTTTACTTAGATTTTCATAACAAATAAACGGAACTGCAAACATGTTTTACTATCGTAATAATGAATAGCAACATTAAATTTTTTTTTCACATTTATCACTGTTGTCATTTTCATAAAGGATTGGTATGAAGGCACACTTTCTGGTTTTTTGAAAAAGGTGGCAAGAATTGTGATATTTTTAAATTTATCACCAGTGATACCACATGTAGTTACCCGATTTATTGGAATATATAGACTTTGCTACCACATTCAACTGAACTTGGTTGTTTTTAATATTTATCACTGTGACATAGGCGTTTTTGTCAAATTGTTTCATTTTAAACTGCTGTAAATAGGTGCCTTTGTTTTGGTAGTTTTAGTCCCAAAAAAATCTATGCATATACAGGTACTCATTCCTCTTTGATTTGTTCGAAAAGTTAAAATTTTATAAAAAATTACATTGGCTGTTTAAAAACTCATTATAATCCCTGAAATGTGATAATTAGGTAAATTAAATTAAAAAAACAAACAAACAAAATTTATTAAATTAATATTTACTCTTACAAAATAGGTTCTTGTAAGTTAACAAGCAATTATGCAGATATTACTAAGTAAATGTACTTGCTTAAAATTCACACACGAATGTGGTTTTAACATGTTAAATTAAATTAACTAACTCTTTCCACATGTATTCTTAGAGATGCTATTCTTTTCTCGATTCTTTTACTTAATTGTACATCTTCTGGAGAACTTTTTTCATTCTGTGATACACTAGGTGTGGCTTTACTAAAGTGCATCCCATGTTTTCAAGTAGCTGAATATTCTGAAACCCCTATCTGCCATTATATGGGATCCAGGAACCAGTTTGTTTAAATACCCACATTTTTCTATTATTTCTTTATCACTAGTTCTTCCACAAAATGAAGAATAAATTCGGTATCTTCAAAACTTTCAGGAGATTCTGCATTTTCTTCCAGAAGGGTTTTTAGGTTATTCACCTAAGAATTTATAGTAGCCTAATTTTCAATTTCCTGAAGGGGACAATTAGCAGAAATCAGAAATTGCTGCTATATCTTGATAATCCGGTGTATTTTTATTAAAAAGTTTACGAGAAACATCGCTAGTAGAAGGTTGATTTTCTTCTTTCCAAATTTCTAGGAACACTAATAAATATTTTTGAAAATGAATGTGAATCATTATCACATTCTGGAACAAAACACTTTTTCGTAGTCATAATATTTATAAAAAGTACAAAATTAAACACTCAAATTCCAAATAAATTCTTGATCGAGACACTATGATGACAGATGCCATACACAGTGCTGCCATACACAGTGCTGCCATTTTGCCATTTTCTGAATTATTAAGTGACTTTGAAAACAATGAAACGTTAAATATGGTAAAAGTTTAAACAGAAATAATACTTTCAAAACACATTTGATATTATATATTTAAAAGATATTTGTTTAACGATGTTTTAGAAGTCTAAAAGTAAGAAGGAGTACACAAACGAACGTACATCACTTCTCGTAAACCTTCTAGCCGGCAACGTTGTGCGCTAGCTCCTATTGGTCTATTCCCGGTGACGTCATAAATTTTTAAAAAATTCATAACTCCGGCAAATGAATAGATAAAAAAAAAATAAAAAAAATGTAGTTTTATTTTTAACTCTACTATTCATAAAAAAAATTTCAAAATTTTTGAACATGCCCCATTGGTCAAACAACTATAAGTAGAGTACATACTCGTATTTCACTTCACTATTATTTGTATTCTATTTCTTTTTTTAAGCGGGTAAAAAAATTTTAAACTTACTTGTAATTCTCTAATAATTAAGTTTCTACTTTTTCCTTGTAGAACAACCTGTGCTTGTGATACCAATTCCTCTGGCACATAAGGCGCTGGTACTGTGACCATAGGTCTGCCTGTACTTGAAGAACTAGTTCCTATAATAACTGGGGCTCCTCTACTACCTAATTTTTAAAGTTTTTTTTTTTTAAATAATACGTTAAATAAATGAATAAAAACATCGTCTTACCACTATTACTTCCGCCTCTAATAGCAGTGTTAGATCTCATTATTCTAGCTCTGGTTCTAATTCCTCTTCCACTTGTGGGTTTAGTGTTGCCATTTCCCCCAGTTCCGCTTGCTCCTCCTGCCCCAGCGCCCCCTGAACTACGTATTGCCCAAGATCTTCAATTTACAAAGAAACAAATAAAAATACATCATTGCATAATGATATGGTTAATTGCCAAAGAGAAATAAGAGCGGTTTGCTTACTGAACATATTTCCTAATACCCTACAATTCTGTGATGCAGGGCGTTTAAGTTCAAAATTTATAAATGATTATTGGCTATAAGTTTTTAATTATATAGGGCCGCAAAAAGTCTTTACAAAAACATACCATATATTCCTTAGAACAAAATAAGTAAACTTATCTCAGCAAAAAGTTGCTCAGTTACAATTTTTAAATCCTTTCATTATAAATTTAAAACTGCTTATTATGCGATTCTGCTTAAATTTAGTACTTTCCGAGTTTTAAAAAAAGGTATCAAAATTATGACTAATATTAATCCATAGGCGTAGAACTTTTTTCAATAGTTGCACATTTAAAATTTATACGCCCATACAAGAAAAGTAGAGGGTTATTGAATATGAAATTTGGATTGCTTAACTTGGTACTTTTGATAAGACTTGATTACTCTCATAGTTTTTGCGAAATTTGTATTTTAATAATTTGGAGTGTAGGTTATACAAAAAAAAAATATTTACTAAAAGATGAATACAAATAATAAAGATTTCATAAAAACGGTTTCACCACCTCTAAGATTACACCGGCACACAAAAAAAAGTTGTACATCAGACACGACCTACCTACTGGTATGTATTTTGACCCGCTGAATCCGAATTTCAAGTCAGTTTGGGCCGTCCACCCTTTAAAATCCACCCTTGAAATATCTCTAAAAACTGATGTATGAACTGAATGAGGCGAAAGATTTTCTCAGATTTTGAACTGTTTTTTGTTGGTATCAAACTTTTTTGTTCTCAAATGACCTCCGCAGTATTCAGCGGATCGAAATACATAAGAATTTTGCTTGGTTTCGATTCATAAATTTTTTTTATTACTAATTATCTTATTTTTACAATTTACTCGATATTGAAGGGTGGACGGCCCAAACTGACTTGAAATTCGGATTCAGCGGGTCAAAATACATGCCGGTAGGTAGGTCGTGTCTGATGTACAAACAACTTTTTTTTTGTGTGTGCCGGTGTTATTTGTTGCATCTTCGATAAGTTGCCACAGTTTTTCTTCATTATCTATACATGTATTGTAAACCGTGAACTTGAGATGTTCACAAAAAAAATAATCCATCGGAGTTAAGTCTCGAATTTGTGTACAAAGTTACAAATTTTCATTGCTAACAGTTTTTGGCAATTCTGTAGATTTCTGATTGGTCAGATTGCAGTCAGTTTCACACATTACTCTTTAGCATTAACATCGCAGCCACGATGAATGATTTTTGTCATTCATCGTGCTTGCTGCTAATTCAATTACTGACAGTTCTGACATTTTAAATTTTTGGATTTGTTTTTGCTTTCACCCCTTTGATATCTCATCATTAATTCTTAGTTTTTTTTACTTTTTTTCGTTAATAACAGTCCTTTTCAGAACTTCAGTAAGCAATTGTATTGAATTTCTACGATTATGGCGCCACGGCAAATAATAATAATAATAATAATAAAAAAAAAAAAAAATAATAATAATAATGTGCCAAAAATATTTGCCGAAGTAAACCAAATAAACCTGCATCACATCGAAAAGCAGAAGAACGAGTACAGAAGATGGAAGCGAAGATCCACGCAGCGAGGCAACAGGCCTCCCGTATCCAGTGTGTGTTGGACTACACAGATAACAACAAGCGCTTTACGCCAAAAGTGCGTCGCATAGCAGCTTTCTTAAGGCGCACCCATCACACACTTAATTCTGTAGTGCTTCGAACCATCAAACAGCACTGCTCAGATAGAATACGGATGCTTATGATAGCTAAGCAAACTTTGGTGAGGCGAGTGAAGTGTTTGGAGCAGAAGAGAATATTTTGAGAAAAACCTTCACGACTGTTTAAAACGCTTTCACCTGTTGTCGAGAATCCTCCTACAGTGGAACAAGTGGAAACCTTCTGGAAAAGACTTTATGAGGAGCAGGTACCCCTTGATCAAGATACTCCAGCTCTAGGACTGTTTGAGGCATTTTGCAGAGAATTCCCAGAAAATGAAATACAACACCGACCAATTACTACAAATGACGTTCGAAGCGCTCTAGAGGGTGCAAAGAATACAGACTTTCTGGTGGAAAAACCTAACAAATGTCCATCCACATTTGGTCAGAATATTTAACTCTTGGCTGAATGGACAACAGTGTATTCCAGGTTGGTTTGTTCAAGGACGTACCGTGCTACTTCCCAAAAACGGAGATCTTTCGCAACCAGAGAACTATAGGCCAATAACATGCTTATTATGCGATTCTGCTTAAATTTAGTACTTTCCGAGTTTTAAAAAAAGGTATCAAAATTATGACTAATATTAATCCATAGGCGTAGAACTTTTTTCAATAGTTGCACATTTAAAATTTATACGCCCATACAAGAAAAGTAGAGGGTTATTGAATATGAAATTTGGATTGCTTAACTTGGTACTTTTGATAAGACTTGATTACTCTCATAGTTTTTGCGAAATTTGTATTTTAATAATTTGGAGTGTAGGTTATACAAAAAAAAAATATTTACTAAAAGATGAATACAAATAATAAAGATTTCATAAAAACGGTTTCACCACCTCTAAGATTACACCGGCACACAAAAAAAAGTTGTACATCAGACACGACCTACCTACTGGTATGTATTTTGACCCGCTGAATCCGAATTTCAAGTCAGTTTGGGCCGTCCACCCTTTAAAATCCACCCTTGAAATATCTCTAAAAACTGATGTATGAACTGAATGAGGCGAAAGATTTTCTCAGATTTTGAACTGTTTTTTGTTGGTATCAAACTTTTTTGTTCTCAAATGACCTCCGCAGTATTCAGCGGATCGAAATACATAAGAATTTTGCTTGGTTTCGATTCATAAATTTTTTTTATTACTAATTATCTTATTTTTACAATTTACTCGATATTGAAGGGTGGACGGCCCAAACTGACTTGAAATTCGGATTCAGCGGGTCAAAATACATGCCGGTAGGTAGGTCGTGTCTGATGTACAAACAACTTTTTTTTTGTGTGTGCCGGTGTTATTTGTTGCATCTTCGATAAGTTGCCACAGTTTTTCTTCATTATCTATACATGTATTGTAAACCGTGAACTTGAGATGTTCACAAAAAAAATAATCCATCGGAGTTAAGTCTCGAATTTGTGTACAAAGTTACAAATTTTCATTGCTAACAGTTTTTGGCAATTCTGTAGATTTCTGATTGGCGAAGTAAACCAAATAAACCTGCATCACATCGAAAAGCAGAAGAACGAGTACAGAAGATGGAAGCGAAGATCCACGCAGCGAGGCAACAGGCCTCCCGTATCCAGTGTGTGTTGGACTACACAGATAACAACAAGCGCTTTACGCCAAAAGTGCGTCGCATAGCAGCTTTCTTAAGGCGCACCCATCACACACTTAATTCTGTAGTGCTTCGAACCATCAAACAGCACTGCTCAGATAGAATACGGATGCTTATGATAGCTAAGCAAACTTTGGTGAGGCGAGTGAAGTGTTTGGAGCAGAAGAGAATATTTTGAGAAAAACCTTCACGACTGTTTAAAACGCTTTCACCTGTTGTCGAGAATCCTCCTACAGTGGAACAAGTGGAAACCTTCTGGAAAAGACTTTATGAGGAGCAGGTACCCCTTGATCAAGATACTCCAGCTCTAGGACTGTTTGAGGCATTTTGCAGAGAATTCCCAGAAAATGAAATACAACACCGACCAATTACTACAAATGACGTTCGAAGCGCTCTAGAGGGTGCAAAGAATACAGACTTTCTGGTGGAAAAACCTAACAAATGTCCATCCACATTTGGTCAGAATATTTAACTCTTGGCTGAATGGACAACAGTGTATTCCAGGTTGGTTTGTTCAAGGACGTACCGTGCTACTTCCCAAAAACGGAGATCTTTCGCAACCAGAGAACTATAGGCCAATAACATGCCTTAATACGTGCTACAAACTGTTCACCCGTATATTGTACACAAGAATTCTTGAAGCAGTTGACCGAGTCTTCAATCAGATTAACGAGCAACGTGGATCCAAAAAAGGCGTAGCTGGCTGCCAGGAGAACTTACTGATAGATAGAACTATCACACAGGATGCCAGGTGGTACAAGCGAAACCTATCCATGGCCTGGATCGACTATCGTAAGGCGTTCGACACAACTTCGCACGAACTTATCGCACAGTTGTTGCGAACCCTCTCGGTGCCAGACCCTATAGTGGGATGCATACAACAACTGATGCCACTCTGGAAAACCCGCTTTTCCATAATATCTGGAAATGCGAAAGTCGAAACAGGGTTGGTATCATTCAGAAGAGGAGTTTTCCAGGGAGACTCCCTGAGTCCCCTTCTATTCTGCATCTCTCTAATTCCGTTGTCTGTGGCACTACGAGAAACTCGGGGATACTTATGTGGCCCACCTGGAAATCGAAGACAAAGTCACTCACCTTTTTTACATGGACGATTTAAAGATTTATGCATCCAACGAGAGGGAACTTAAACAATCCCTACAGGTGGTACAAGAGTACACCAATGCTATCGGCATGGAGTTCGGTTTAAACAAATGTGCACAGATCCAGCTCAATAGAGGCCGATGCGAGGATTTTGGAGAGGAAGTGCAACTTGTGGATGGAAACGTTCTACGACATTTAAACGTCGGAGAGTCTTATCCTACCTGGGAGTGCAACAGCGCCAAATGCAGGAGGTTGCTCTGATTAAAAAGACTCTACGCGGCAAGTATCAGAACCTCATTCGGCAAATCTGGTCATCAGAACTGTCCGGAAAAAACAAAGTGGGTGCTACAAATATGCTTGCCGTTCCAATCCTCCTCTTTGGAGTAATAAAATGGACACAAGAAGAGCTGCGCCAGCTCGACATCAAAACCCGCAAGATGATGCATCTCCACAGGAGTTTGCATCCAAATTCGTCCGTACAAAGAA